CGATCATTCCAGATCTTCTAAATGTTTCATTCGTTAATGAAACATCGTCAACAACTTGTAAGTAAATAATATTTGATATATTTCAATTCAAAAGTGAAACTAATACTTCTGTGATTGCAGTTGAAAAAATTATTCAACTCCTTTATTTTTGAAAAAAATATAATTATCCAAAACCTCAGAAGATTTTCAATAATTTGTTTCATTTATCCATCTTCACAAATCAACATCAGGAACATTGCTAACACTTTAAATCGTTTGCTCTGTTACGTATGCAGACGTAACACGCAATCAACAACCGAACAACTTGGAAACATTTGATCCCGAAGGTCTGGCGAACAACACAACCATTAAATTATTATCATTCCATTTGAAATGCAAGTCAGACATAACAAACACGTTCATTCGTTTCGTCCCAATGAAGTCGTTGTTGTTGGTGTACATTCGCATGTATGTAAACTGCTCTTATCAAGATTCTTTCAATGAAAGAAACAATCATAAAACAGAGTTATGGATAGTTCTATCCAGCTCGCTGCATTCCACTGTTATTCATTGAAAAAGCCAAATGGCGATATTTCAATAGTCTAGATGCTATAACTTGTATAAAAGAAATTGTTCAATGATTTTTCTGTATTGTTGTTTATCATTTTTCTATTATTCATTAAAAATAGATGTCTTGATTGAGCGATGTTTGTTTTGTGGCACACTGTCACTTCCGCAACTTCAAGTGTGTCAGCCCGCAGAATAGCAGTCTGGTCAGAGTTTGCATGAACATGTCTGCTGGGGTGGGGCGTGTTCTCCCATCATCAGTTGCAGTACCAGCAGGCAGCTCTCCAGTGCAGGTGGCTGTTGACGATTCGTTTGAAAGATTTGTTGTCGTTCGCAGGCGAGTGTGGATGTGTTGCGTCTGGTCAGTGTTGAAAGGAAGTCACAACTGGATGACGTTTGTTTGATGGTTTGTTGTTGTGTAGTGAGCATAGGTAATATATTGTTTTGCCCAAGTACAATGATTGGCACCAAAATAATTGTAATAATAATTTTGTCTTTTATAATAATAATGTTGTTATTACTGTTTTTTTTCGGGTTCAATATAACTTCTTGGTAGTAAATCTAATTGTTGTAACGTAGCTGAGATGAAAAACAACAACTCGCATCAATAACAACACTTACTACCATGTACGTATACTTGTGTTGTGTTTATGAGATTATGACAGACATAATTGTGCTTGCTTGTATGCGTGGAGATCTATCAGCTTATCATTTCATCTCTTGCTTGCTACCTTCCAACCAACAGCAACAACTACTGCAACAACTACAACTGAAGTGGCAGATGGTTAATGGCTATTGTACACATGACCACCAGATCGTGACAAACAGCTGATCATAATAATTACAACGGCAACAAATTATTGAAACAAAAATTAAAAAAATCGGAATTGGTTCTTGCTAGCAAAAAGTAAATAATATTCTCAATTAATGGATGTATAAATTTGTGTGCGTGTGTGCATGTGTGCCTGTGAACATGGTTATGCGTGCGTTTTGCATTCAAACACCGATGTGTACAACATATTCATTTGTAACAAGTAGTAATTTATATATATAACATATTCATTTGTAACAAGTAGTAATTTGTATATATATATATATATATATATATATATCTGTATATGTATATATATCCATTATATATATTTATACATATGTATATATTGTACATGCCATCGTATAGCGTGCGTTGGTTGATTGGCAGTTGGTGGGGAGCACTGACGTGAAGATTATTCGTATAAATGAAATAGGAGCGATGAAACCGCTGAATTGGATTGAATGTTCTGAGTAGATGTCGCTTGTTCGTTCGTTGTTTGCCTTTGCAGTTCATTCCGTCTTCACTCGCCTGTAAATGTGTTTTCAGAAAATAAATTTTAATATATATATTTTTAATATTTGAGACTGGTCAGGTTGGTGCTTCGTTGGCTTATACAGATTTATTATGTTACTTAATATTATCATATTGTTGTTGAATTGGTATTAATATGTTATTATTATTATTATTAATATTATTAATAATATTATTATTATTATTATGTTATTAATCATCCATTTCATTTTATTGTTTGTGCATGCATACCATAGAACTTATTTAGTAGAAAAGTGATCTTCCGCAATTTAAAAAAATCCTTGCTGTAGTTTCATTGTAAGTTTGAATGTGTGTGTGTATGATTGTGCATGCACGTGTGACAGTGTGACAAGTTAGTTGTATGAGTATGTGACAAGTTAGTGCATTTAATATTTAATGTGAATGTGATTGTTTATATGCATGTGATTGTACGTTCGAGTGCGTGCCATTGTTTTTGTGAGCGTGTGTGTATGTTGTGGTTGTTGTTCAAGTAAGTATCTCTTGTGGTGATGATTATTCTAGAGGCCAACTGCATTTTTACACACATACGAACAATTCAGGCTGAACGTCGTTAAACGCTCATTCAAACTTCATTGCACATTTCATTCATAATTTTTATACTTTTATTTCAAAGATTAAAAATAATTTACAAATAAAGTGGCGATAACCTATTAACATTTCAAGCAAATTGTTAACGATTTTTTTAATTGTTTTCATTTCAAAACGTTGTATGAAATACATTTCAGATCGCAGGGCCAGCAGCCACATTGAATATTGGAATCATTCACTAACATCTTGATGTACGTCGAACAGCAAAGCAATCAAGGAAGAATGGAAAAAACACACCAGAACAAAAAATCAAACTTCGCCATGTCTAAAAATATTTTTAACAGCATTTTCTCATCAAAAGATAAATCAAGTAGCAAGCAACACTCCAGCCTCATGTCGACATCTCTGGTTGAATCGACATCAAGGAACGAAATTAAATCATCGACAAATAAGACTGAATTCACTGAAATCCTTCAAAATAATTACTGCCACGCTCACAGCAGTAGTTACAACAACAACAGCAACACAAACGCGAAGAGGCCTCTCGTTGAAAACAATGAAAATAAATTTGTGAAAGTTTCTGGGGATAAAATTGTTATATCCATGCATGCAACACGTCATAACAACATCAACAACAACAACATCAACGACAAGATCAACAGCATGGACCACAATGGAAATTACTGCAATCCATCGTTACACGACTCAAACAACATCAATAGCATTAACCCAAATTACACTAATAATATCAACATCAGAAACAGTTGTAACAATAATGACAATAAAATGAACCACGCAACATGCAACAACAACATCAACAACGACAATACAGACATATTTAATAACGTAACCACCAACAAAAACAACAAGCCAACATTGAAACATCATTCTTCCTTTTCAAACAAACCGCAAAGCAGTCGGATGAGGAAGTGCTACAGCAACGACATCATGGAGTTTCTCAACAGGAGCCAACAACAACCACAGCAATTTCAACAACAACAACTACATCAACAAACGGTTGTTCAGGATAGCTGGCGCTCTGGATCTCCTCCAAAGTTGCTACCGGTCAGTGGCAGACTTTCCGCTGTTAGTCACTTGCCTGCTTTTTCAATTTTTTTTAGATTAATTTTATCGCACTTTTTTTGTCTTGTTGTAAATAACTTTAAAATTCAACGTCATTTATTTGTCTGTGTAAATTCATGTTACGATGCTCTGGACCGAAAGATATTTTCGAAGTTTTTAATTGGCAACATTTTGAAATGTCAGCATTTTAAAATGGCGAAATTTTGAAATGGCAATTTTTTGAAATCGTAACGTCAGCATCAGTAGAAATCTTCATTTTGAATTAATATCAACTCAAAAAAAATATAAACGAACGAAAAATATTTAAATATAGCGAACTAAAACCACTGGTGGCGATGGCAGAACAACAGACCGCCTCAAATTTTGGGAACAACAAAAAAACAACAAATCATTAAACTTGCCGCAATATCTTTTTACACACAAAAAATCAGAGTTATGGTCGGTGTTGACTGCTGAGATCTATCTTCACACCATCTAATTAATATTTGGGGTGCTGAATGCCGCAGTAGCTAAAAAAAATATTTCCACAAACTGTTGCAATCCTTGCATGCATGTACGAGTAGCAGGAAAATCTCTACATCAAATAAAAGTTTTAAAATTATGCCTTTATATATATTTATATACTTATATATATATATATATATACACACATAGATACATGTACAATTATTATTATATTCTATCTCAACTGTATTATTTATTAATTAACTTATATTTAAATTTTTATATTTTTTACAAATACATACACACATACATATATATTTGTATAATAAAACTTATTGGTAGAGATTTATAGAGATTCATAAACACACACACAGACACACACACACACACACACACACACACATATATATATATATATATATATATATATATAATATATAATTATATATATACATGAATGTATATAATATATATAGTTCAAGTACAGTTGTTGATTATCTTTTTATTTCTTTCGCAGAGTGTTAGATAGATTAGGAGTTTGGTGTGATTGGTGATAGATTACATTTTTGCAACTTTGTTTTTAGCTCCGAAATTAAGTTAGAATAGAAGCATTGGTATTTAAATAGTTATTCAGCAGTATGGAAGAATATGTTAATATAATTAAATTAAAATTAATTAATACTTCGTGGTGGTTAATTATACAATTAATAAATATTTAGATGTAGAAACCTGCGTCAAACTCGTTCAACAGGAGTGCGTGCAAATGCCTGCTACCATGCATAAGAGCGTGTTAAAACTTTCTCATTCAAACCAATGCACATTTCTGTACGTGATGAGTTCACGAGAGTCATGTGGAAGCACTTGAAGTGGAGTTCACAAATGAAGGGTGCATGTGCTTATCAAGCATGCTCCAACTCCATGCTCACGTACCAACATTTATCTGTCGGTGTTTCAAAGTGCATCTTAGTTTGGTTGGATAGTTTTAAATTATTAACAAAAACTTGATTTACTCACGACAATTACATGAAGATCAAGAAATAATTAGACATGGAATTCTTGTGTAAAAAGTGATATGTACGCCTAGTTGCAACAGTTATGGGACCGAACTTTCATAAGATATGTTTCAAAGACAAACTGAAGAGCAATAATAGCGGTGCAAAATTTGTGAAATAAAAAATTTGCTGAGTTTTCCCAAAAACTCAGATAAAGGGCATTTGATCATTGTTATTAAAAAACGAAACACTAATTTATATTCAAAATATTTTCTACTGCAGGCCACACGTGAAACTTGATTGCAAGATTATAATATTGCAGAAACTAGTTTTGAATCTTAAATGATCATAGAACATGTGTTAGAAACATCAAAAGTTGGCAAGAGTTTCAATGTTTTCGAATGAAACAAGTGTGCTGTGCATTTTAATGAGGAGCACATGTTTGGAAAGTAGATTGTAGGCCTAATTTGCGAGATGCACGAGAAAAAAAAGTTCAAGTTGAATTTTACTTAAGTTGATTAATTTAAAACAATTAAAATTTTTCTTTGTAATCAAATGATTAGAAATGTTTACACTAAACTAGTTTGTGTTTAAAATGTTGGTTAGTGGCTTCAAATACCCAGTAAATACAATCTGCCTGTATTTATTAATTCACATGAGAATTAAAACGTACACACTTTGTAAAAGACTCGCAACTTAAAATGTTTTTAGAGACAGCTCATACTTATTTTGGTGAGATATTCTATTCTATAAGATCATACTTTAGTGAGATCGTTCTTTAACTTGTGCAATTGATTGAAAACAGAATCACTACATGCATACATATTGAATGTATATCTTATATGTATATTTATATATATGTATATATATATATGTATATATATACATATGTATATATATATATACAAGGACTCGATATATATCCAGAACATATATCTATATACATGAGTTTATCTTACACAAACTCTGTTTGCGTTTATATAAAATCTACCGAATTTTCTGCTTTTGAAAATTTACGGTTGAGTTTTTCATTATTTCTAACAGTAATTTTATAATAATTACCAATTTATTAAAATTAATAAAAAAATCACTGGTGTTCATGATGAAGCGTATAGGTTCTATTTCGATTTTACTCATCATCAGAGCTTACATAAGGATATTTCAAAGTTTTACAATTCTCTCTGTGTGCAAAGTGAATTTGCCGACAGATAAATAATTTTCTAAATATCATTAGAACATTTATGTGGTTGTTGAGCATGGATTTTGTTATGTTTGTAATTTAATTTCATCTATATTAAGTTTATTAAGTGCCATGTTTTGAGTTGTTTTTCACCTTATATATAAATGGGTATATGTTATAGAGACCGACCGAAACTGTTTTTTTTCTTTCGGCCGAAACCGAAACAAAGCCGAAATTGAAATTTCAGTTTCGGCCGAAACCGAAATAAGGCCGAATCTAAAAAATAGGTTTCGGCCGAAACCGAAAAAAACCGAAACTAAAAAAATATTTTCGGCCGAAACCGAAACCGAATATTGAAAATTTTAATAGAACATCATTTATATAACTTTTTCCGAAATTGTTGGTTGAATTGAAACATCTGAATGTTTTGAATGAGATTCATCTAATTTCGGTTTTTTGGCTTCCCTCAAAAAACTATTTTTTTCTTCAATATTTAAAAGAAACTTTGAAAACAGACCTTTGTGATACTTTTCAAGATGATTTTTCAAACCACAAACAGTCTGGTTCTTCGGCAGTGTACTTCCTAAAGAGTATAACTTGTCACATTCATTGCAACGTGCTTTGCTTTTGTCAGACTGGATCTTTGTAAAATACTTCCATATTGGATTTAACGACATTTCAACGACTTTTGTTTAATTATTCAAATTATTGTTTACTCGATTTCAGAATTAATTTAACAAAGAAGTTTAAAATTTTTTTTATAGACAATGAAATGTTATTCTTATTATACTTGTGCGTATATATATATATATATAATATATATAAATAAATAAATATATATATATGGTGAGAATTTATAAATTATATCTTGTGTGTGTGTGTATATAAATAGCGCTGAACCATGAAAAATTGAGTTGAGCTTAAGTCCATCTCTGCATAAATTATGTTGATGTGTTTATCAGGCATGGTCAAATTTCAATAAAGATAAACTTTGTAAATTTTAGAGCCATATATATATATATATACATATATATATAGACCACCCAATACAATAAGGATTATATATACATTTATATGCACTTATATATATATGAGTGTGATGATAAATGATGTAGTTTTATATAGTTATTTAAGAATATCAAACATTTTCAGCAATAATCCACTTGTAGTTCAGTTTTCCTTAGAAGACATTTATCACTTTCATGTAATTTACTCAAGTATTTTTGAAAAAAAAATATTTTCGGTTTTTTTCGGCAAATATGATTTAGTTTCGGCCGAAACCGAAAAACGGCCGAAACTGAAATATAACATTCGGCCGAAACCGAATCACGGCCGAAACTAGAAAAATTGGCAGTTTCGGCGCCGAAACCGAAACCGAAACCGAATTTCGGTCGGTCTCTAATATGTTAGAGGAAGAACATAATTTATGCATTTCAGCAAAATATCGGTATAATTCATCAAGCAAAATTTGGTAGATTTTATCAAACAATATATACCTTTATCAAAAACAAATAAAAAAATGGAAGATTTTCAGCAAAATCTCTATGCTACGATTTTTCCAACATATTATTACAGACCCTCTGACTAACCGCTGGCAGATGAAACCAAATCTGTGAAAATGCGTTTTGTGCCTACGAGACTTACCAGCGATGTAACTCGAGTTAAGTAGTTAAGGCTGTAGATCCTGAGATCGCCTTAAACACCCTTTTAATATTTTAAACTTTTTTCATTAGTGGTGATACAGAGTCCTTGATCTTGATCACACATTTTTTCTATTGCCAAGATTTAGTTTAAGTCCATAATAATGTGGCCAAAAGATTTTGTTTAGAGCCTTTTTTTATTATAGGCTTTTTTCTTTCTTTTATCTAAGGTGACGAGATCTTGTGGATGACACCTCATGGTCATCAAAATTTGTAAATTCTAAGACTGTCTCAACACCACTAAATTTAGGCTACTGACTTAGTTTGGGAGGGAAAAGCTGTCCAACGTTTTTTTCACTAATAGGTAATGAAAATTTGATAAAAATAAATAAGCTTCCTAAAAAATTTGTTTCATAACATCAAGCAAATTACAAAAATTTAATCAATTAACATCTATATTTGAACTATGATTTTTAGCTCAATTAAAATAAAATTTTATTATTGTTCACTTGGATATTTGTAAATGGGAAAAAAAATTTAAAACATTGGAATGTACTGTATTCAAACTGATTTTTGTAAACTTCTTAATTCTCTTTAATGTTAAAGTTTTTTTCTCGATGACACTGAAACTGCCAGCACCATGATAATAAATATAAATGTTTGAATGTTTGAAAGATGATGGCATTGCAATCGGTCAATGTTTCAATAGTAGCTTTTCATTATTCATGGAGTAGTTTCTTCATTTTGAATCTATAAAGACCATTTTCCTAACTTATGGTTATTTAAACTTTAGACTCATCAGAACTTGACAACTTGATTTTTTACGAAAAATAACGCAGTAGATTATTTTCCAGTTAATCAAAGAAAAAAATTTTCATGTCCTGAAAATATTTAACTTCAATTTTAAAACCATATTTATAACGACAATAATTTAAATTTATGAAATATTATATTCAAACTTACATCAAAATGTTAGATATCAAATAGGTCTATGAGTTATTTTTGTAAAATTTTTCAGTTCTAATAACTAACAATATGACTGTAGCAAATCAACAGAACATTAGTTACCAAAGGTTTTTTAAACGATAGTCTTTATCACGAAACTGCTGAAAGAAGGTTGTGTTTATCGGTGTTTCTTGTACAACATAGAATTTTGGTTTAATTGATATGGAATGTGTTTTGTATATAATGTATAAAATGTGTGAGAGACTGGAACCACCTAGCCCCCACTGGCTATGCGTCTAAACGTGTTAGTGTCTTTGAAAATTATGTATCATTCGCCAGAGTTTGGTATGAGTCCGTTCACTATAACACAGGTAGCGGACAAATAATAACAGAAAGATATAGCTCAAAACTCATCTTTTTATTATTTCATTGTATATATATATATATATATATATATATATACACACATATATATATATATATACATATAACTTTCACTGTGTACCCACTATATACATACATACATTGTACTAAATTTTTAATAATTAAACAAATGCATATTATAATATAATCACGAAATTTATCGTTATTTTCAGGAAGTGAGTAACGGAGTGATCAAGCCAAAAGCTTGTAGACCAACATTAAACAGTTCTATAATAAACTGCCATTTTAAAGCCAACTCTAATACTTGTATAAACAATAAAGCAACACGAGATGAGGGGTACAACTCGCAAAATATAAGTTCATCCAGTGCCATAACCTCATCATCTTCGGCTTCATCTAATGGTTCAAATTATTTCAACGAAAAATACGAAACAGAAACGGATGCAAATGCTCATTCAACTAGGAAGATTAGACCGAGACCAAGGAGCAGCACGGCGGCAAGCATCGGCTATAAAAAACTCATCGAAGATTCCCTTGTTAAAATAAGCAACCGCCTGTCGGTATACAATCAAGACAACAACTTGCAAGATAAAAACTTTCACTGTGTACCCACTACTGCCGAACAACCTAAGTCACAATGTAACAAATTTTGTAATTCCAATCTCAAAAAGATCATCGACGATAAAGAAAATGAATTAAATAAACTTCGCGAAAAAATTGAATCAAACGAAAAAACTATTTGCACTTTACACGAACAAAAGGAGAAAGAATTGAAAAAACAAATTTCGGAAATCGAAGAACAATGGCTTGAAAAACTAAAAATACATCAACAAAAATCATTCAAACTTGAACAATCCCTTCTTGTTCAAATTCTCCAATTAAAAAATGAAAATAACGATCTAAACGAAAAGTTGTTTCAATTACAAAATGACGTACAGTTGTTAAAAATTGAAAAAGAAGAAGCTAATAACACTGTTCATCAACTGAAACATCATCTTGAGGAAACTCACATACAAACATCAAAAAAACTTGATGCAATTGTATCTTTGAAGTCTCACTCGTACACTAGTTGTAACGAAAATGTCTATGAAACTATATTTTCTGTTGACAATTCAATTATTTCTCCAATTCCAAGCTTCATCAAAAAGAAAAATAAATTTGGCTTGAAAAAGGAAAGTTATGAATACGGCGGCGGCAACAACAAAAGAAATTATGATGAACATGAAAACTCGGACCAAACGGCACAGACCGATGATTCTGCTTCTACTCTGCAGGAAGTAATCTCTCAGATGGAAGAATTAAAAAAACTCAACCAGTTGCAGCATAATTCTTGGCTTAATGAAAAAAACAGGGTGATTGATTATCAGAAAAAACTACAAGCAAATTATTTGAATGTTTGTCAAGAAAACAGACTTTTAAAAGATGAAATTTCAAAACTTAAAAACTATAACGAGAAAAAGACATTGTTTGATTCAATAGCTACTGAATCATTTTGTTGATCAGTATTTATTTTTGTCCGTTCCTGTAATTATTTGTTGTGCAACAGTATTTATTAAAGTATTTTATTCAACCGTAATTTTGCGTACATGTACATTGTAATGAAAAACTATAGCTTTTTTATTGCCTTTTTAGAAATCAGGTGCAATTTTTGGTTCAACAAATTGGAAATTTATTAAAATATAAAACATGATATTAAAATGTTATATTTGTTGAAATGTTTATTGGTTGGATTTTAAATTTGTAAAACGTTAGAAAACTTTTTGCATTATATTAATTATTCAGAAATATTTCGATCAATAAATTTAATACGACACGCCTGATATGATGTTGAATTTTATCCATTTTCGTGAAATTTAACTTTTCACAATTTTTAACCTGTTTAAAGTCAGAAATATATTTTTGATTAAAAATATTCATGAAGACGATCCAAAGTAAATAAATGATAGCTAGACTAAATTTTCAGGGTAACCGAGTTGTAGACTGGCAAGAAAATTATAGAAATGAACGATGATGATCTAATTAAATAAGAAGTCATAAAAGTAAACATTTAAAGAGTTTCGAAAATTTCGACAGAAAAAGCAAATCATAAAATTTAAAAACAGTGAGTTCGATCATGTGACATGTCATCTAAGCTTGATTGAAATATCAAAAAAATACTTTGGAAATGAAATAGAATAAGATACAACGATTAATGTTTTTAAAATTACAATGTTAGAGCCAGAGCAGAAAAATATTAAAACTAAAGGAGAAAATTTATATCGTGTATAAAAATAAGTTACAAACGGCGTCATCTATTAAAATATATTTATTTGATACTTCTAATGAAATTATTGAAAATATTCGTCACAACAAGCGATAACTCAAAAGGTTTAATTGTACTTTTTCGGTCAAAACATCGCTTGGTTTGTCTCTGTGTATCATATACTTAATCCTTTTAAATTTGAATTAATTTGTTTTAATAAACACTCTATTACTATTCTTCATATTATCTTACCTAATTCTAAAACTTTTGATGTTTCTCACAAAATTCGTGGTTTTTATCTTTGATTCTAGCATGTCTTTTTCTTCTCAAATTAATGGCGTTGCTAAAAGTTCTTTCTTTCATCTACATAGAATAAAAAACTTTTGCCTTTTCTTGACGATCCTATTCTTCTCCTTTTTGTTACTTCGTTAGTTTTATCTAGGATTGATTATTATAACTCGCTCTACTATGGTCTTCCTGATTTTACATTCTATTCTTTCAGTAAAGTTTTTAACTCTGCTGCTCGTCTAGTCGCTCATGCACTTTTCTTTTTTAAATAACTCCATATCTTGTTCTCTTGCACTTTCTACCTTTCAAATATAGAATGATTTTTAAAATTTGCATATTTGTGTATAAACCTCAATCTAAATTATTTCCTAAGTACCTATCAGATATATTAATTGGACCTTAACGCCCCGGTTTACGATCAACATCATGTTCTCACTTCTTAACTCGAGTTAAATATTTTTTTGCTATATCTGCATTTGCTTTTTCTGGCCTTGTCTACCTTCTTTTCTGACTACTTCTCCATCACTTACGAAGTTCAGAGCGGATCTCAAGACCCATCTGTTTGCAAAATTCTTTGAGAAGCGCTGTTGAACATCGCGAAAATAGCGCTTTAAAAATTGATTGATTGACTGACTGACTGACTGACTGACTGACTGACTGACTGACTGACTGACTGACTGACTGACTGACTGACTGACTGACTGACTGACTGACTGACTGACTGACTGACTGACTGACTGACTGACTGACTGACTGATTGTCTCATTATGTAACTCACAAGAATTAATTGAACAGTAGCTATAACAAACATTTTTTTAATTTGATTTGAAAATTTTGAAAAAAAAATTTAAATTTTAGCTGGTAAAAAAAAATTATATTAACCGTTATGACTTATCGTAATATTTAAATTGTTTTAATATAGATTATCCAAGAATATAGGCACTGGCGGCGACTTGTACGGGCTTTCGGGCTCGAGCTTCCAAAATATTTAACCCTTCGAGCTCAAGCCTATTTTGAGCCCACTCAATAGTTAAAACTAAGTATTTAAAAAAGTCTTTTTCTGTTTAAAATACCGCAATACACTCTCATGACGATGATGATTCAAATTTTCACTGTCTTTTACGACTGCGTGCAGAATATAGTCCTGAATTACAGCAATGTTTTGAAAAATCATTATATCAATGGACTTCAAAAGATATTCAAAAGGAATCGTTGGAAATTATGTCGCACAGCGTTCTCATATCTGTTATAAGTGATATTTATTTGAAAAAGTATTTTGCCATACTTTTAGACGAAACATGTGACAGAGATGCAATCCATTTTGTAAAAGAACTTGTAACATTTATCAAAGTATCTCCTATAAGTTTAGCTTGTTTTCCCTTTTTCAACAAAGTAATGCTACAATTACATCATTGTGCTTATTATGTCCAACAAGTTGGACTATGCTTATATGTAAAAGCGCTTTAAACAAGTGGACATCTTCGCTAAACTTTTTTAAAAATCAAAGTTTTCTCAGAAATGAATATGGCGCCAAATATGCTAGTTTTCTCACAAAAATGACATCATTTCATAATTATTTTGTATTTTGCTGTTTGGTTTTCATATACGATAAATTGGAAACTAATACGAAAGCTTTGCAGTGTCCAGCACTGTCAATGTCAAAAGTACGCAAACTCGTAGAAAGTCTAATGCTATTTTTCAACAGAACCAATTCGATGAAATCTTTTCGTCTTTTTGGTTAAATACCACTAACGATGCAAAAATATTAAATATTGAAGATCCAAGTTTGCCACGGCAGCGAAACGTCCGAAGCGTTTTACTGATGGTAACGAAAACGTTCATGTATTTGACACTTCGCAATTATTTAAAAAATTGTATTTAGAGATTCTTATATGCCGCTATTTCTTTACTTGACGCTGGACTCAATTCTGATGGTTTCAAAAAACTTGCCGATTTGGAATCAAAAATTTTACATACAGCAACAATTGAATTTTATTTTTTTTAAATTTACTTACAATTTATTTCGAATTATTTATTTATTTAGAATTTATTTATTTAAAATTAATTTATTTGATTTACTTAATTTAAAGTCACTTAAATTTTATTGCTGAATTATATCCAGAAGAAGATTACATTTACATTTCGATATGTTTCGCGATATTTGTAAGCAACGAAATTTATCTATTACCTCAGTCACAGACATTGTCAACGTTTTAAAAGATATAAACGGACACGGTTTGAATGAAATGCTGGAAGAACTTTCTCGAATTATTGGACTATTTCTTACAATTCCTGTGATAACATGCAGCTCAGAAAGATCGTTTTCCGTCCATCGGCGTTTAAAAACTTATTTACGTTCAACAATCAGTCAGCTAATATAAAACCATTTGGCCATACTACATTGCTATATTGCTATAATGAACGCGCCCACAATCTTTCAATTAAGAACTTATACAAAGAATTTACTTCTCGGGATATTTAAAAATAAAATTTTACTATTTACATTATATTGTTTAATTTTTTGACTTTTAAATTGATTAAAAATTAAAAAAAATTTAAATTACAGTTTGACTAAATTTAATAAAGATTAAAATTTTGAGATTTTTGAGCTCTCCCCCCCAATAATTTGAACAATATATAGGTGTCTCTTTCACACGTAAAATAAAGTTCATTACGCTCAATTCAATATTTTTTATTTTACATATGTTACTAATGAAAATGTAAATTCAAGTACAATAACTAAACGTTTTTAGCCAATAACTTTCTCAAATTATTTACGATTACTAACAGTCTTTGTCATTGATTTACTTGCATGATTTTTTTATTTATTCTTGAACTTTGTTTTTATTTTAATGGATTTTTAAAATATCAAAATAAAACAACATAAATATTTATCATATCACCATAAATATTAATTGATAATTTATTTTATTATTCATTACATTATTGCAATTTGCCACAAATAGTGAATATCGAAATCCGGTTTATTTAATCTGTTTTTTTAAATTTTTCAGAATAACTTTCGTTTATAACTTTGCCGATCAACATTATCCACTAATAAAACAACCTAAGCACAATATTTTGACCAACACCATAATCAAAGATACTAAATCTTTTTCTTAATTCACTCTAGGCCATCCTCATTTCGACGTACGTTAGCCTATATAATAATTATTGTATCAATATATGATTTATACGGCGAAATGAAGCTTGTGCGTGCACTTTGCACATGTCATACCGTAAAAGTGTGTTCTGATTAGATAAAATGAACTAATATTTTATTAAATAGTATATACTGTATAGCACAGATTTTCTATATATAAGTATGTATCGATGATGTAAAATATTATTAACATTATATTAAATTAAAATTATGTTCAGTATCTTATGTATTGATAAATAAAATTAAATAAATAAATAAAAATAATGTAAAGTAAACTGTTTTTATGTAGAAGGTTGATTGTTAATGACATGAAAATTTTAATAAAACTCTTATATGAATTCATAATTATTTTGATCTAGAACAAAATTTACAACATAAAAAACTAACTAAATAATTAAATATTTTAATTTTAATTCTTACTTATTTTTAAATAAATACATATTAAATTAGATCTTATATAGATCTTATATTGGTTTAAAGTTATAGTTATTAATATTAAAAGCTTCCTTTTGGTCTTAAGACTTAATGTTTTATTTATAAAATAAACATTATTCAATTTTTAAAAACAATACAAAACTTAATGGATCTGATTCATTAAGACCTTAGGTTAGGCTTAGGATGTAATGTTTTATAAGAAAATGTTAGTAATTAGTAATTATAGTAATTACCTAACAATTACATTTAATTTCAATTAAGAGTTCAAAGTATCACCTTCTTGACTATATTATTACTAAGGTGCTATTGATATTTAAGCTAAGTTGTAGGCAAATACTTTTTAGGTTTTGGTTATACACGCAAGGGTTTGTATAACTATAAACATATCTTATATAATGTTTATTTTATATAAAATAATAAATACACATGCAAACATAATTAGCAATCATAAACATGGCAAAGTTTCACTTTTTTGAACACATCTCTGTTAATATTGCCAAGCAGTAAAAACATATTTAAGGTTATTATAGGGTTTGGATACATTATAATGGAAAATATAATATAATTTATATTATATATATATATATATATATATATATATATATATATATATATATATGACATAGAGGGTTTATATATTTAAAATACAAACCCTCTCCCTAATCTTTCTAACTTAACTAAGTTGGTAAATGATTACAAATTTATTGACAACACATTGTGATTCTTACAGTTTACAATTTATTGGTCTTACAAAATAGAATGAATTTAGTTAGAATTTAAACAATTTACGAACTTAACTTATTTTTGCTTGTTAAAATCAAATGTTAAAGTCTCATAGAAATATCAATTATAGTCTATACTATACAATACACATACATAATTTTTTCCTATGTAGGTTCCACACAGCAGCCAGATGAATAAAAAAAAGTTGTATACTGCTTGGTGCATTAAAGTAAATTAAATGTAATAATTTAATAAATAAAAAAGTGTTTTTTATTTTGGTTTATCCTATCTGTAATAATATGGGTTGTGTCAATTCAAAAACTGCAAAAAAATATCTGATGATAATGAACATATATTCAAAATGTTTAAGATGATTACATTTTTTTATATTATATGGTTTTTTAAGAAATAATTTGATTTAAAAAATATTTATAATTGACACCCGACCTGCGTTTTTACATATAGTGCTCAAATGTTGAATTCAAATGTTAAATAATTAAAATTATTTATTTCTTGTTTTCTGAATTTTATACTCTCAAACAAGCTTGTGCCTTTACACAGAATTCATCTATTTGCAATGATAGATATTTTATCTTTATTTTTTATAACATTTTTAAAAACCACGTTTTTCTTCAGGCTTAATTCATCAACATTTCCACCTCAACAGATAATTAATATTTTTAAACCTTAACAATAAATGTTGTTTAGGGAGTTTTTACTACTCTTATTTTCTATTGCTTATGTAGTTGTGGTTTTTTATTTCAAAATGTGTACAACGCATACGCATAAAATGACGCATAAAATATTTTGCTCTTAGGTCATTCATACAACTATGGAATTTAAAGACATAGATTCTTTAAGATATCATATAAAGAAGATCATATCAGATGAGTATGCCTGGAAAAACTTATCTCCAGTTTTCACGCAATATAAAAAAGCCGCTATATTGTTTCCCTTGACGTATAATTCCTGTAATAAAATAGAAGTTTGGTTGACCAAAAGATCCCAACACGTTACGCATGACAAAGGTCATATCTGTTTTCCCGGTGGTATGTATGAGGATCAACATGACCGAGATGAAATAGATACAGCTCTAAGAGAAGCACACGAAGAAATAGGCTTAGATCGGTCATTCGTTGATGTGTTAGGTATTTTAATCCCTTATATTAATAACAGAAAAGTTTTGATTACTCCTGTTATCGCAATTGTTGCTGACCGTTTCCAACCGAGACCGAACCACGAAGTCGAAGTTGCTTTTAAAATGCCCCTTTCAAGATTTTTAAAAAACGATAATTACAATTCATTTATTCTAAGAAATCCTCATTCAAATATAAATTCTATTGTGCATATTTTTTCTGATACAATTGAAAAAAACATGAATGTAGTTACTTTCGGTGTTACTGCGACGATGCTTGTTGAGGTTGCTGTTGCAGTTTTAAAAAAGCTTCCGGAATTCGATCAAACAAATTATAATATAGAAAAACCTTTTTTAAGACAAACTATGATTATCAGATTCTTGACAGAATCATGGAAAACTAACGAAATCCGTAGCAAATTATAGTGTGATATATTTTTTAACTGGTTGTGTTTAGTGATGTTTTTGCGCTGAAATAAAAATTTTTATCTATTTTCGTGTCATTTTTTTTAAATAACTTAATAAATGTTGAAATTTGCTAAAAATTCATCTCCTAACAGTCCGTTCTCCCATAAGCGGTCCGTTTCGCGATGTCGTCAAGCTTTTTCCGTATCAATATGTGTACAACATCACCCGAGCGATAAACCTGGAAATCATTTGTGTACATGTCCTATGAAATAAAAAAAATCATACACTAAGAACAACAATAGTATTTCTCTAATGTTTTTATGGGTTGTTTGATGTGCTCGTTATAATTTTGCAATTTAATTTGTATCCGCTCCAATAACTGTTGCAATATTCTGGTCATCTCGCGTTTCATTTCCTTTGCAGCCACCTACATTAGTTCTGTCTTAAATACTTTTCCATTGAATTACACATAGGGAAAAAGATGAAGCGTCTGATCTGAACGTTGACCTGAAAGCATTTACATCATAAGACTGTATTATTACGCCGCAAACGATCGCTCACTGGAATCCACCTACATCGAATACAATGGATGCTTGACGTCATTTTTTTGTTTGCTTCCAGTAGAGCGTGTTATGAGAAAGATACGATAGAACAATTCCAGATTAAATTTTCGGGGTTCTCGGTTTTTGCATAAGCAGTCCGTTTTGCGATGTTGTCAAGCTTTTTTTTATATCAATGTGTGTACAGCATGGCCCGAGCAGTAAATTTGAAAATCTTTGGCGTAAGTGTCCTATGAGATAAAAAATATACACCAAGGACAACAGCCGTTTAAGTATTGAGCCCTATGATTCTCCAACGAACAGATCCAGCCTTCATGACAAAACCACCCGCAATTGACATATGCTGATGACGCTAAAAACGACTACAACCACTGCAAGGCTAGACCAGAAACTCATGACAAATGCTGATATCTGAGATCAAGTAGTGCCAGAAGGGCGACATATTTTTATCAATACTATATATATATATTATATATATATGTAGCGGGTACTTAGCGGCAAGGTTGAGACGTAGACACAAATCAAAAAAATTTTATTCTGTAAACTGAAAACTATACCAAATAAATATTCAATGTCAATAAGGAAAACCAAAATAAAAGCAAAAGTTCGAGGTTAGTGTGCAGAATTTTTCCTGCCAGTGCTGTGACCACGTACGGGCGGATACTGTTTCAACTTCTTCACTTGACAACAATGTAGAATCCTTCGAACACGGGTGTTATGTGGGGTTGACTCCTTTGGTTCCAGCCGTCTTCTGCACCAATATTGCACCACCTGTGCTTTACCCAACCGACAAACGTTTGTGTTACGTTGAAAGGTAACTACTTCGTTCGCCACCCTCCAACGCAACAGATAACTACTTTGTTCGCTACCTTACGTTTATCGTCGTTGAGCTCGTAACAACCCCGTACCGTATTTCCAGCTCTCCCGTATAACCACTAAATAACTACCACCCGCGTACCAACAAATGAAACTTCTCCCAATAATACCTTACCAACCAACAGCTACTTCACCAACCACGTTTGCGTGTCCAATTTCTCACCAACAAAAACGCCAACTCGACCAACTAATTTTCTACAATAAAAATAACTAACTCTACCAACCAATTTTCTACAATAAAATTAACCAACTCTACCAACCAATTGTCTACAATAAAATTAACCAACTCTACCCTACCAACTAATTTTCTACAATAAAATTAACCAACTCTACCAACTAATTTTCTACAATAAAATTAACCAACTCTACCAACTAATTTTCTACAATGAAATTAACCGACTCTACCAACTAAT